TACCGATCGATGGAGAATTTTGTACTCTATACATCGATGATGTTCATTTTTTTTCCAAACTTCAATTTTTTGCCTCTTTTCAGATTATTACATGATGTCATTAAGCGATTTTCGACCAAATCGAACTAACGTGCTGCCGAAACATCCCGGAAAAATAACCAGACATTTGGCAATGATAGTGTTCTGCTCGACGTTGTTTTACGAAATGTCGTTTTGGTGTTTTAGCCACCATATTTTCCAGACCATTCGCCAATAGACTACCATATTTTCAAGCACTTCGATAAGTTTCCCACCGGTAGAACTTTCGCCAATCCACCAACCAGGCAAAAACTGCCTTCGTCAACTTCATCGAATCAAGAACACACAATTTTTATGCTGACGGAATTATTCGACTAGTGTTACGTTGGCAAGAGTGTACTGATTCAAAATTGCGTTTATTTCCATCATTGATATATATCAGTTGAAAGTATACTCATAAAAACGGACAATCTGATAGTAATATATGATTTTGACAGTGACACTGAAAATACACATATCTTTCAAACCTGTGAGAAGCGGATTGATCCATATTTCATGACTATATTACAATTCTAGTGCTGCTAGTCTCTCAAATTTTGAGGTAAAATTAATTTAAGATGTCCGAGGAAATACAAATACAAACATATCTTTTATTAGAAGAGCACATTTTTTCAATTGAAAATTAGCAAAACATGCCAAGAATCGCACTTCAAAAGGTAAGACCTCATTAATCCTCACCTCGCACATGTTTCGACTTCTGAGGGTTGTCGTTTGAAGAGGAGCGATAGCTGGTTAACGAAAAAACAGATTAGTATTATGAATTTCCAAAATTTATAAGAAGATATGAACTCAAGTACACCTTTAATACATCATATACGTCAATATATTTTTCACATTTTGGAATGCGAACAAATCATGAATGATTCTATTCCCACAATGGGTTAAAGCAAACATTTTCATGCATTTTTACTAACTCACCAGCTGTTTGTAAAAATATCTCGAACAAGATAGCCCATATTTACGAAAACAAAAAAAGCACACAACGAACTAGGTCGGATTAAAGGTTCAAGCAGACTGAATATAAAAATGAAAATGCAGTCTCAGAGAGCGACAAACATTTTTTGGCAAATAGTTCATAAATGTTGATGATTCATCAGGGGCACTTTGGGTTTGTTCACAACTATTTCGTATCTATCGACGTTGGAAAGCCGATTATATTATGTAGAGACGAATAAATCTGAAGGGTTGAGCAAACAAAAATTCGAATAGCCCTTTTCTTTTTTGTGGTTATGATTTGGATCACCTTATATACATCTTATGACGCAACAAAAAAAATTCATACACCTTTAATCACGAGTCTCTTTTACAACCTTATCAGAAATCAGTTAAAAATTTCATTATTGATTGATAAGATGCAAAATATATTTTTATGTTCAAAAAAAGGCAATTTGAAGTTTATGTAACCTTACACAAATAGACTTCTGCAGAAACCATTTACAAAAATTGAATATCCCAACATTTTATAATACACATATTCTCAAAATAGTTCTCACCTTTCATAAGAGGAGAATCGAACTAACGAGACCTGCAAACGTACATTTCTCCAACAAGAAATCAAAATTTCATACTACCCACATACAGGTTCGACAGATCAAGAAAAGGGCCACTTCACACAGAATCATGATAAAAATTTAAATATACTCTTCCAATTATTTATTAACAACTCTTACCCGGATCCTCTACTTAAGAAGATCTCATTTAGTACGTCAACTATTGACGTTCAAATTAATAATAACAACCAGTTGGATATAAATCCTTTAGAGTCTGACAATGTCACAGTTGGGAGTGATCCACCTCCAGTTCCTATACTTTTCTCTTCTTTATCATACATAAGTGATATGACACCCAAGTTATGCAGAATTTTCAAAATTCAAATGTAAAAATAGCTTTTAGAACCATATTCACCATCAATAAATTATTTTCTAAACTTAAAGATAAAACTCCAATCAACTTTCAATCTCAATTGATCTATTCTATTCCATACTTGAATTGTGGTAGGGAATATAACTATTGGTCAAACGTCAAGATTATTCAAGGACAGAATCAGCTCCATAAAAGTGATAGTAAATTACATTCTGAGAGATGTGCTTTCAGTAATCATGTGTCCAAAGAAGGTCCAATTCAACAAAAATTTAATCAACTGAAAGAAATACATCTAAAAGATTGTTTTTGGAAATGTCATTTATATTAACAACCCAATAATTGCCTCAATAAAAGATTAGACATTGATCACCTCGGCGAAATATATGCCTTTTTATAAGACATTGACAAAAATCTACATGAATTCCAAACCAACAATATTTCTGGTTTTTCATTAATATAACTTCATTAATTCTAAACATTTTCTCTTTCAACAAACTTTCAACCTGCCAATGGCAGGGTTTTACTTTCATTTAACAACACTTCTTTACTTGTTTTCTTCAAGACTAATGAGGATGTTTGTCAATTAATCAACATATTTGATTTTTGGGTTTTCTCATTGAGTTACTTACAGAACAGCAGATATCTCTGATCGATCACCTTGTTTATTATATTGACATGTTTCAATTGATTAAATGTAACATTCTTTTCGACACGGCCAACCTCACTAACAGTAAGTTGTGACCTTTTATATTAATAATTTTTATAGTGCATCACCATCATATACATTTTGTAGCTTTTCCCTGAAGCTGATAAAAATTTTTATCAAAATATTGGAATAACTTATGTTATAAGCACTTCCGTTCTTCTGATGACCCGAAGATGATTCCCAAGTTTTGTTCTTAACTAGTCAGCAAAGACTGTCCTTCAACTTCTGGGGTCTAAGCGTCGATTCACACAAAACGGAAGTTGGATGGAAACTAGACGCGGACTCTTGTCTCTTCCATGATTCAAAGTACGCAGAAGTGACATAGCACCACGTCGTGGCCACGTGCAACCAGAAAAAAATTGGTGAGTTAACCAATTATTTCTTATTTCTTGTTATTGTCTTCGCCTCTGTCCTTGTTAATCCTTTCTAATGCAATATTCCAACTATGACCCCGTCCCACATCTTTCTAGGTCTTTTTTTTTTCTTCGTTTTTTTGTCTTTTGCTTCCCATATCTGTTTAGTATTATTCATTTTGTGTAAATGACTCCACCACGTTAGTTATAACTTTTCAATATATTCCAAGGTTGATTCTATTTATTATTCTTCACTATTTCTGTATTGCTTATTCGACCCCTTCTTGTAATGCCTTTTACCTTCTTGATATACTTCATCTCGATAGCTTGTATATTGCTTTTCTATCTTATGGAAAGGGCCCAAGATTTACTTCCGAATTTTAGGATTGGTCTGTATATTGCTTCAAGAACATAAATCTTCGTTTTCCTTGTGATTTCACTTTCATTATTAAATGCTTTATTCATTGCACAGTATATTTTCAGTTTCTTTTCTATTCTCTTATTTGTTCACTTGTTGATTTTGATTTATTTCCCTAATACCATTACTTTTGTTTTGGAGTTATTCCGTATTCCAGTATAGTATAGTGTTTCAGATATCTAAGTTGCTCTGTAGATCTCTTTTTTCTCAATCATTATGAACATGCCATCAGCAGACGCGTCTGGCGATATATTTACTTTTGCATGTTTCTTTAACTCCGTGGCCTTAAGCCACCACCTTGTCTCAGACCTTTTTTTGTGGTTAACCTACGATGTTCTGCCTTTGTTAATGATGCGGTTGTTGCTATTTGTATATATAGTATATATTTGTATATACTCGCTGACGCAAGTAGCTAGCTTTTTCAGATGTTTATACTGGATATAACGGTTGCGTCACGCGTAGTTATGTTGACTCTTCACGTAGTTTGGTGTGCTATTACCTGTATCTGGCTTATGTGAATTACGTAAAGCGTGTTCATTAATATCGTAGTCGATTGAGGTTCACAGCTTTTTTTTCTGTTAAAATTATCCATGTGTTTGTGGATTTCTATTGCCTCCCGTACCAGTCGACTATGATATCCCTGGTCGGGGGCAATGAGTTCCGTGTTTTCAAACATAATCCTGTGGTTTCCTTCACTGAGTGCTTATTCTGACACATCCGAATTGTTCTTTTAGCCTAGTCTGCAGTTTCTTTCATGCTCCTTCAGCCTTGTTCCCATGGATCTTCAGGTGGTTCCGATGTGCTGTATGCGATAAACCCTGCTGCTGATAGTGAACTTGAAGATGTTCTAGTTCTTCCTGTAGAAGCTCTGGTCCACTTATTCTTCGAGCTCGTTCCGTCAGACTGGAAATAACTCATCTATTTTGATTACTATGGTGGTTTGATAGTGCGTGCAGGTACTCATCCGTGTGCGTGGGTTTTCGGTACACTTCGTGGGTTAGTCTATCAACATCGTTCGATTAATACATCTAGGAAAGCTATCCGCTACTCCTGTTCAGTCTCCATGGAGTACTCGATGCTTGGGTGTTAAGCGTTCAAGTGGTCTAGGAAAAGGTTCAGAGCATCCCTTCCATATTTCCAGATGACAAAGGTGCCATCCACGTAACCTACTGAATATTCAGAATATTATGTGGTAATTAGCTATAACTGGGCTAAGTGGACTTCCCATCGCCACGCCAACTAGATGCTCATAGAAGTTTCCCCTCCATTGAAAGTAACTCCCCGTGAGTCGGGGAGTTTCGGCCGCAAAAACCTTAACAATTTTGTCTCCTAATATATTTTCTATTACTTGTTTGATTTTCATTTGCCGTATTTGTTCATATATTTTCATCTTAACATCTTAACAATGTTATAACCATAATTGTTGCAGTCAAGCATATTCCTTTTTTTATACAGATAAGTACATAAAACTAATATACAAAAAAATTTAAAATAAAGTGTATTTTCGTTTACACAATTGGAATAAAATGATCTAACTAGTTGAATTGGATTTGTTAATACACTGTTCAAAAGACATACTCACTTTAATTGAAAGCCTTCAAACTCCTCTTGTTGTTCACTAATAGACGCCTCTAGGTCAAGGTAAGAGCCATAATCTCCATCTCTGTATAGCTGCAATGTGGCATCATCCAGCTAGAACAAAAACATTAACTCCTTAATTGGAAACAATTGACAACGTAACATCAGTAAACATTCATTCGAATTGAAAACCTCAACTTTTTTTGGGAATACCGAATGGATTATATTTTTGTTTTTATGCAATAACTCTATTTCCAGAGAGATAAAAATACTTGTATATATCCACTCACCTCTTGATAATTGAAAATTAAGAACCAGTATGTAAATGTTGGTTATTTTAATTGGTTTACATTTCAATAATAACCCATCTTGCTAGTAATATTTACATTCCTCTGGTAAATTCAACTATACTTCTTGAGTGAGCCTTTCTTTTAATAAAAGGTTCTTGTCCGAAACTAGTCAAAAAATTATTGAGTTTTCATGAATCTTTGGAATTTTCAGGAAAATCTAAGGCGCTCTAAGAGCAGTGCCTGTGCGAAAGTAGCGATTCACATAGGAGTTGAATTCATTTGGAAAAACAATCTCATGAAGTTTATTCTACATAACCGCAGTTCTCCAAATGAAAGAGTTCTTGAAAAGTGAAGTTGAGGTGTACTGAGTTGAACCTGTGTCGCGTATTTCTGATATGTACCCCTCTTATTGGAATCAAATTTGCCAAGTCACTTGAACACTTCCCGTGAAAGTATCTATAAAAGAGAGACAAATTCCCAACCTTTCTTCGAAGTTCCAGACTATCAGGCGGATGAAATCCAACAGCTTCAAGGTATATTTAGGGGCGGAGCTCCATATATGAGAACAATACTCCAAAGAAAGTCTGATCTGAGCTTTATAAAGCATTAAAAGTTGCTGAGGCATGTACAGTTTTCTGGTTCAGAACCCTCAACAAACTCATCGAAGCAGAAAGCGGAATTGTCTGTCCTGCCGTTATTATATCCGGTTCGTAGACACTGATCTTCTTGGAGAAAAGCGATGCCTGGGTTTTTGTGGCATTGAATTGAACCTGGTTACTTTCACCCCAATCCTCATTAGGATACGCAACCTACTGCTGCCGGAGAAGATGTGCATCCGCTGCCGATGTCCTGAAATCCAAAAGGAATGACGAGACAAGATTGATGTCAGCAGAGCAATATATTGGATTCTTGGTTTTTTCCAATAAGTCGTTGATATACAACAGAAAGAGAGTTGTAGACAATATAGATCCCTGGGAAACACCAGCGTTGATGATAAAAGTATTCGAGAGATATCCATGGACGGTCAATTTTAGTGAACTCAAGAGCCATACGCAAGCCATAGCTTTGAAGTTTGGTCAGCAAACCATCATGCCACACACGGTCAATGGTATTAAAAATATCAAGCGCAACAGCTCTTTACTCTACATTTTTCTCGATAGCGTTATTCCAAATATGGGTGACATACGATAGAAGGTCGCCTTCGTTTCCGAAAGCTATATGAACGTCCCAGATGTTAAAGCCTTCCAAATATGTAAGAATATGGTGGTTTAGGGTTTTCTTTCATGATTTTTGATATGACTGATAGCAAAGCGACTGGTCTTTACTTAGTTATTTGAAAGATACTTCTTGCCCTTTTTGGGAATAGGCTGAACGTGGGCAATCTTACTACATAATGTACTATTCATCAATAAGTCAAGTTGTGACCATTATTTAATGACTACAGATTATATTACTCTGAATTATTCCTTTAGTTTTTCTTAGAAATTATAAAAAACGGTGTTTCCATGAGGATTGCAATTGATAATGAAAATATTTTTTGATACTAGCTAATGTCCAAATTCACAATGTTATTTTGAAAATATAAAACGAAACTTGAATAATGTTATGAAACACCTTAATTTACATTTTAAACTTTCAATAACCATCAAAGCAAGCTACTGATATGCAAGAAATGATTCGAATGAATCATGAATTAATCCAAAATAAGAAATTTTCTCAAACACCAGAACCGCAAAACTTTTCGCAAGTTTCACGAACCATGTTGGCATCTTCAGTAGATGAAGAAAACTAATTTCACTGGTTCGGACTTCCATTGTCTACTATATAAAATGATTTGAAATCCCTGAAACAACAAAAAAAAAAGAATAATTAAATGAATAGCTGAAAATAACAATTATATTAGCCAAAATAAACCTGAAATGAAATAATACTTCTGACTTTTAGAGTTGGCCATCTAATGCCAATAAGATGTTTCTATGAAAACATTTTTTGTTTTAATTCACCCAGTTTTAGAATAAAGTTTTTGGAAAATTATTGTTTTAAGTGAAAATACTTCATTTTAAAAATGTTTCCATAATCAATTGGATTTATTTTCAATGGAACGGTTGAATAAATCCATTTTCTGACATATCTTATTCAAAGCGAGCCACAGAGGAGATATCTTCAATCAGTGTTTTCTTCGAATAGGTACCTATTTTTTTGGTTTGGAGAACATTTCTGAAGTTTTTCGATCACTAAGTCATAAGTGATTACCACTTGCATCAGAATATTTCGGCAATAATAGAAAATTCATAACGATCATTCTATTGAACTCATTTCTGAACTGGCATTCTAGAAACTAGAAAGTATATTATATAAAAGTTTGTCGCAAAAATACAATATGATCTGATAAACAGTGCTGTGGAAAAAATATGTTTTTTTATAAAATAGCTATAATTTCGCGATAAGCTTTTATATCATTTGATTTGGGCAATGTATTAAATTGATTGATTTTATCTAGACCATGTAAATAAAAGCTTGTTTTGAAAATGCTTTCTTCTTGAATCAAACACAGATATTTNCACCCGTTGAAAAATGCCCGGAGTGTTTCTTATTGTTTCGCAGCAAACTATGATGCGATTCCTCAACATTTCCTCGTTTTCAATGGGGCTAGCATAAACTAGTCATTTTAGGTGTCCCCAAAAGAAAAATTCGACGGGATTGAGGTCCGGTGACCTCGGGGGCTAATGCTCAGTGCCTCCTCTTCCTATCCATCGTTGGGGATATGCTTCGCCTGAAAAATTTCTTGCTATCACACTAAAATCAGCAGGAGCTCCATTGTGCATAACCCAAGAGTGATTTCGGAGACCAATGGGAACATCTTCCATAAGTTAGGGAAGCTCGTGTTCCAAAAAATGAAGGTAAGCATCTCCATTCAAACGTAAGGGGAGAAAATAGGGCCCAATTAAATAATCCCCTATTATGCCCACCCATACATTGAAAGAGAATCTGTCTTGGAAATGTGTTTGCGTTATCGCATGTGGGTTACCTTCCGCCCAGATGTGGTTGTTATGGAAGTTCATGATACCATTTCTTGAAAAATTAGCCTCATCTGTGAAGATGACTATTTTTTCTTAAAATTGTCTCAGGAATACGTCACTTGACTATTTTAACGTACTTATGTTACACCGTGTATAGTGTGAAAAGACGGTGTGGATGAATTTGACTGAGATACGGGTATTTTTTTCAACATCAAAAAAGAAATTGAATCAAAATAAAGAAGAATCTACAGTGTACACAATACAAATTTGAATTCAAGATAGACAGCTGATTCTCATTTTTTCATTATTTATTTCAATAATCAATTCCTTGAATGAAATTTAGATATAAACCACATATAGAATGTCACGCCGGTATGAATCAATTGTGAGATAGGAATACTAATTGAATCTGAATCAATACATAGAAAATATGATGGAAACAACTCAAATTTGAAATCAGCGGTGTTATTGTTAATAGTTATCAGGGTTGTACCCTGATTATTTGATGGACAATTTGCAAAAATCGTAAATATCAGCTGATTTGAATAGGAATTTTATATGGGTATAGATTTGAAAAGAAAACATATTTTCTCATTTCCCAAAATTCTAAAATGAGAATTTTGCAGTTTTCTTAAGTTCAGATTATTGTTCGCCACTTGCTCTTTATGTATTGTTTTTCTTTTCAGGTGTTCTATGTCATTGATTATCATAAAGGAGCAAAATTCAATTTTTCACATATAGTCAGTGAGCATACTTGAAGACTGTCTATATATCAAATTATCTAAAGGAACAATTCATTCAGGCCAGTCTCAACTCCATGCACTGTAGGTTAATGGACTGACACCTATCAGAAAATAACTACTCCGCTGGCTAATACCACGAAGAAATTAAATTATATCGGATATAATTCAACTGGCCTGAACGAATTGTTTCTTTAGATGATTTGATTTGTAGCCAGTTTTCAAGTATTCCCACTGACTATATGTGAAAAGTGTTCTTTCCTTATACGAGGTATTGGGCAAATTTCATATATGCGGTTGGATACCTCGTTCACAGGCACATGGAACATTAAGGAATGATACTCTGAAGGAATTCGATTTTCAATTATCGGAAATCATCGACTTTATGTTGAAGACCCCCAACAGTAATACAAGCTTCTGCTCTCCTCGTCAAAGAATTCCGCACCCGTTGAAAAATGCCCGGAGTGTTTCTTATTGTTTCGCAGCAAACTATGATGCGATTCCTCAACATTTCCTCGTTTTCAATGGGGCTAGCATAAACTAGTCATTTTAGGTGTCCCCAAAAGAAAAATTCGACGGGATTGAGGTCCGGTGACCTCGGGGGCTAATGCTCAGTGCCTCCTCTTCCTATCCATCGTTGGGGATATGCTTCGCCTGAAAAATTTCTTGCTATCACACTAAAATCAGCAGGAGCTCCATTGTGCATAACCCAAGAGTGATTTCGGAGACCAATGGGAACATCTTCCATAAGTTAGGGAAGCTCGTGTTCCAAAAAATGAAGGTAAGCATCTCCATTCAAACGTAAGGGGAGAAAATAGGGCCCAATTAAATAATCCCCTATTATGCCCACCCATACATTGAAAGAGAATCTGTCTTGGAAATGTGTTTGCGTTATCGCATGTGGGTTACCTTCCGCCCAGATGTGGTTGTTATGGAAGTTCATGATACCATTTCTTGAAAAATTAGCCTCATCTGTGAAGATGACTATTTTTTCTTAAAATTGTCTCAGGAATACGTCACTTGACTATTTTAACGTACTTATGTTACACCGTGTATAGTGTGAA